CCTGCCCCGCCGGGGGTGGATGCGGACTGTCCGGTGGTCCTTGCCAGGCTGTTTATGGACACAGCTGCCCAGCTGAAGCCCAGCCAGTGGTGCCATGTGCCAGCCAAACTGGGCTGCCAGCCAGGGGTGCGCTGGAGTGGACATGGCGGCACAGGGTGATGGGAGGGGGGCCGTGCGAGGTGCCCCTGGGCAGCTGCAGCCAGAGGGGACCAGGAGCCACTATGCCCCTTCAGTCCCACTGATTCTGCAGGGCTTGGGGACCCTCCCATGCAGCCCCCAGTGCAAGCAAGGGGACTGGACCCTGCTGGGGGGACGCTGGAGGGGTACATCACCCCCAGCCTCCTGTGAAAAGGTCCCAGGGATGGTGCTGGAGCAGTGGGCTGGAGACTTCCCCCCGCCCTAGCAATAACTGGGGGGCTGGGGGAGAACTGCCCCATGGCCTTGCTAACTGCCCCATGGCAGGGAGGGGACTCTGGGAAGATCCCCAGAGAGACTGGGACTGAGGACCAGCACCCCTCTGGCCACAGGGATGCCCTTCCAACCACCACCCCATGTCCCCAGGAGCTGGGGCTGCCCCTGCTGCGGCAGGGTGTCTCCACCAAGGGTAGGCAATATTATTTTTTTCTTGTAAATTTTATCTTTTTATTAAACCATTGATAAGTTACAAAGGAGGAAAAAATATAGACTTATATATACAGCATTTCCAAGCCAGCAGGGACTGGCTCTTGGATGGGGTTGCTGGGAGGCGATTGCCCCGATGTGGCCTGGGGAGGGCCCCCCACCAGAGCCAGGGGAGGGGGGACCCCCAGAGAGGCCAGGCAGCCCCTCATCTGGTGGCACCCTCCTTTTGGGTGCCAGCCAGCAGGTGGGCAGGAGCGGGACGGCAGGGTGGGCAGGGTGAGGGGCAGGAGGCGGAGGTCCTACCCCAGCACAGGGCACTGGAAGAAGGGACCCCAGGCTGGCAGGGACAGCCCCCCCACCCCTATCAGGGCACGCAGTCCCTGTGCAGGAAAATTGGGGAGGGGGGCACAGCGCTGCCGGGACAGGCAGCAGGCAGCAGAGCAGCCCTTTCCTCCAGCGGGCATCGCCACTGGGAAGACCCTTCCCTTCCCTGGGGTTGGGGGCAAGGGGGACCCTCCCCAGGCATGGGGCGCCTGGCAGGGGCTGGGGGACAGGGTGGGCGGCGGGGAGGTGGCCCTGGCACCAAGTAGCACCCTGGCCACCCTCACCCACCTGCTGGCAGGGCTCAGTAGGGTGAGAACTTCTGCCGGTCGGCTTTCTTGGTGCCATTGGCTGGGGGGGT